TTTTGTTTGCCTTGCATTGAATGTTTGTTGTAGTCCTAAGTTTCAGGGACTCTGTAGATAGGTGGCTTATTTTGGCTGCAATCATAGGGCAAGCCACCTGTCAATTATAGTTAGGTTCCCTGGTCCCGCCCCCTTTGGGTTTTTGGAGGTAATAGGAGCCTTTTTGAGTTCAGTCCACACAGAGAAGCTTTCCCTGCAGGACATAATGCCAAGAGCTCCTGTAGAAAGCTTCGTCTTCTACGGCTTGGCCGGGGAGATATACAGCCCACAGCTTGGCCGGGGTTATACAGCCCACAGCTTGGTCGAGGATCATACAGCCTTACAGCTCCTTTGCTGAGGGACTTCAGCCAGCCATCACCGAAACCTGAACTCCTTTTTCCTTGGAAGTCTACAAAGCTCTGCTTGGTAAGGGCCACTCGCGGAAGCCAGAAGCAGTTGGTACCGGGTGCAGGGGCTCCACGCCAACAGAGGCAAAGACAGACTGTCCAGATTAGAAGTTAAGGATTTCCCCATTAGTTAATTACAGTTTATGAAGATAGTGCCTGTTCCCAGTGAACAAGATTGAGAGAGCCAATAGACTGTTAAGAAAGCTTGAAAGTACCTGTTTGTTTTCATTAATAAAGAACATTGTTGAACCTTTAAGCATTCTAGAGACTATGTTTTAAGGAAAACCAAAGGCCTTTAATCTGAGGCAGCCCCGGTGTCCCGTTGGGCACACAGAATTTATGTCCTGTCTACAGTCTTATGCACAGGCCCAGCGTGCGACAGCACAGCGACACACAAATACACAATGGAGATTATCAAGCAAAAGTGATACTACAACAACAACATCTCTGAATTCAAATTACAGAGGTGAAAGCTAAAAAGGTGACACACAAATACACAATGGAGGCTATCTAGCAAAAGTGATACTATATCAACAACAATAACAACAATTCGATTCAAATTACAGAGGTGATAGCTAAGGAGGTGACACACAAATACACAATGGAGACTCTCTAGCAAAATGATAAAACAACAACAACATCTCTGAACTAAAATTACAGAGCCTATAGCAACAACATCTCTGAATTAAAATTACAGAGGTGATAGCTAAAAAGGTGACACAGAAATACACAATGGAGACTCCCTAGCAAAATGATAACAACAACAACAACAACAACATCTCTGAATTCAAATGACAGAGGTGATGGCTAAAGAGGCAACACACAAATACACAATGGAGACTACCTACTATAAGTGATACAGTAACAAGCACAACAACAGCAACAACTACACTATGTAACACGATTTTTGTTCCTGAGTTATAAATGTAATTTCCTAATTGGTTCTATCACAAAAACAAGGAAAAAACGTATGAAACTGCAAAAAAAACAAAAACCATTGTTTTTGTTGGACATCCCACAGCACATTTTGCTATAGTTTTTCAATGCATATCTCATCGAGTTTCAGCCAATTCGACATAGTTCATGGCAGCCACTAAAACGAAGTTTCTGAGCAGAACAACTAAGTACCGCACAATGGAACAGGAAATAACACTTTCAAACCAGGAATGGAAAAAATTTCCAAATAATGTTACATAGTGTTATAGTCCCTGAAAGCCGAGAAAAGAGTTTTGTGGTTCTAACAAATGGTCCTCTTCTTTCTTTCCAAACCCAGGGCCAGTCCAGTAGTTCTCTTGTGCCGGTGGATGGGAAGAAACTGCCCAGAAAGGAGAAAGGAGTGCATTCTGCAAAACCCAGTGTTAGCAATTTGCAAGAAAGCCAAAGGTGAACAATCTCAAGAGAATCTGCTCTCTGATGTGACCTATCACACTGCTTCTCATGCTGTCTGATCCAGATGACCAAAATGTATTTTTGTTGACCATCTTTGAGCTCAACTTACTGGGAGTTGAAATTTGGGAAGGCTCCTGCACTCTTTAGCAGAGAAGGTTAAAGATGTTGGAAAACTACTATTCCCATCATCCCCTAGCATTCAGCCAGGGCAGTTGAAGTGCTGTGAAACTGCATTAATTCTCCAATGTAGATGCACCTTATTCTGCTCTCCGAGAGCCTTGGCTCCACAAACACCTTTTGTGCAAAATGCAATGCAAAGTGTTCCCACTAGAAGACACAAGATGGCAGGATTCTTAAGGAAATGTCATGCTGAAAGTCTATCTATCTATACACATCTATCTATCTATCTATCTATCTATCTATCTATCTATCTATCTATCTATCTATCTATCATCTATCTATCTATCTATCTATCTATCTATCTATCTATCAATAAAAATGTAATGTTCATTTGTGGGATTAACATAACTCAAAAACCACTGGGCGAATTGACAACAGATTTGGACAGCATACACCTAACAACCCAATATATGTCCTTCACTCAAAAAATTGAGTTAAACCCCTGTGCCGGCAGGACTGAAGACCGATAGGTCGCAGGTTCGAATCCGGGGAGAGGCGGATGAGCTCCCTCTATCAGCTCCAGCTCCTCATGCGGGGACATGAGAGAAGCCTCCCACAAGGATGATAAAAACATCAAAATCATCCAGGCGTCCCCTGGGCAAGGTCCTTGCAGACGGCCAATTCTCTCACACCAGGAGTCACTCCTGACACGACCAAAAACTCAAAAAATTGATTTTGTCATGTTGGCAGTTGTAGTTCTTGGGATTTATAGTTCACCTACAATCCAAGAGCATTCTGAACTCCACAAATGATGGAATTGAACCAAACGTGGCATACAGGACTCTCATGACCAACAGAAAACACTGGAAGGGTTTGGTGGGCATTGACCTTGAGTTTGGGAGTTGTAGTTCACCCACATCCAGAGAGCACTGTGGACTCCAACAATGATGGATCTGGACCAAATTTGCCACAAATATTCCATATGCCCAAATATGAACACAGATGGAGTTTGGGGGAAATAGACCTTGACATTTGGGATTTGTAGTTACTGGGATTTATAGTTCACCTACAATCAAACAGCATTACATACATATATTATGTGTATGTATGTATGTATGTGGCTAGGTAACACATATATTATGTGTATGTATGTATGTGGCTAGGTAATAAATAAGTGAAAATTATGTGTTCATGTATGTGGCTGGGGTGTCCACTTACACAGACAAGCTCCACAAGTAGCTATAACTCCCACAACTCAGGAGACACCAATGGCCCTCCCTCCAATGCCATTGCAGGTTATAGCGAGAACCATAAACATGTCCAAGAGCCCTGCCAAATGTCCTCCACAAATACCATACTGCCCACCACTCAAGTGAAGGCTTTCATACAGGGACCATTTCATCGTAGATTTTCCATTTTTCCCTCCACCGCAAACTTCCCAGTGTTCCTTACTTTCTCCATTGGTGTGTAATTTGCATGACCCCTTCCACTGCCTCTCCCTTAACCCTTTCCTACTCTTTTCTATGACACACAAGCAAACAGAGGAATTGATCAGCAACTGAACAGACTAGAGAGGTTTGGGGAGAATTCACCATGATTTATAGGAGTTGTAGATACTGGGATGTATAGCTCACCTGCAATCTAAGAGCACTCTGAACTCCACCAATGATGGACTTGAAACTAACTTGGCACACAGAATCCCCATGACCAACAAAATATACTGGACGTCTTTGGAGGGATTCATAGGAGATGTAGTTCACCTACATCCAGAGTACACAATTAACCCAAACAAGGATGGATTTGGACCAAACTTGGCATGTATAACCAATAAGTCCAAATTTGAACACTGGTGGGCTTTGGGGGGAATTGGTCTGGACATTTTGGAGGTGTAGGTACTGGGATTTATAGTTCACCTGCAATCAATGAGCACTCTGAACTCCACCAAAGTTGGAACTGGAGCAAACTTGGCACACAGGACACCCAGAACTAGCAAAAAATACTGGAGGTCTTTGAGGAAAATTCACCTTGATTTGGGGGAGTTGTAGTTCACCTACATCCAGAGAGTACTGTGAACCCAAACACCAATAGATCTGGACCAAACTTTGCATGCATACCTGATATGCCCAAAATTAATTAATGGCGGGGCTTTGGGGGGATGTGTTCTTCTTTTCTGTAAGTTCTAGTTCACTCAAAACCAGAGAAACTGTGACCTCCACCAATGATGGACCTGGACCAAACTTTGCACACAGAATCCCCATGACTAATGCGACGTACTAGAGGGGTTGCGGGGGGGGGGGGGGGGGGGGGGGGGGGGGGGGGGCTGACTCACCATAGTGGGAGTTGTAGTTTACCCTGCAGCCAGAGAGCACACTGAACCCTACTGATGATGCACCTAGAACAAACTCGCCCAACATAACAAACTTTAAGCATTGATGGAATTTCACGCAGTTAACCTGGCATGGTGTCACTTGTAGTTAATCCACAATGCCAGGTACCCAAGGTAGTAATAAAATAAAACAATTCCCTGCCTAAAATGAATCAATGTTTTGTTTGGGCAGAAAATGGAAAAAGAACGTTTCCATAGAGAAGAAGAGATTCCAGTCACTTTCGGAATACCAGTTCATATGTCCAGGTAAAACAGCAATGTGCCAATATCTAGATTCTCAGCTCTTTTCTTTCCTCCGCTCCAAAGGGCTAGAAATGGAGGACCCAGAAATGTGGGAGAGATGTTCTTTCTAGGCTTTTTCTTAGTCCTGCAACACAGTTCAATGGTATGCCTTAGAGTCGGGCTGGAAGATCTAGGAATGCAATACTGGTATTCTAACTATGTTTTTTCTAGGTCCTCCAGTGCAATTTGAGGATATGCTTTCGATGGAAGTTGACCATAGTCGTGGCGAAGGACCTAGAAATGCTAGAGAGGGGTTCTTAATAGGCTTCTTCTCAGTCCTCCAATACAATCCGATAATATACTTCCACCAGAAGTTGTATATACATATATGATGGGAATGTGAAAAGATTGAGCAAAATTGGGGGAAAGTAATTGCTAAAATTAATTAATTAACTTCTACTAAATTTTGGAGATATCAACATTGTTCGTTATTAGTTATGGCTTCACATTTGCATGGTGAGTCCAGGAATTATTATTAGTTATGGTTTCACCTTTGCATGGTGAGTCCATTTGCTGTTCTCCGTGGTGGTGCTAGTCCCGTTTCCAAATCTATTCTTCTCCCGTGGCTCTCAGGAAAGGCTGCCTTCCATTGCACCAGGCAAAGCGTGAAGCAACGGCTGCGCTCCATCTATCTGGGGAAAACAAGCCAGAAGGTGCCCAAGTCCAGGCACCCGTCCATCCGGATTCCTCACTCCCAGCGGGGAATCTACAACTCTAAAAGGTATGAAAACCCATCCAGTGACTCAGGACAAGTCACCCTCTCAGACACACAGGAAGGCAATGGCAAACCTCCTCTGAATGCATCTCCCGAAGAAAACTTCATGATAGCTTTACCTTGGGGTTAACATTAGTTAGAAAGTGACTTGACGGCACGCAACAGCAATGTTGTTGAATGGGATCAGGGAGGCTAAGCGTTAGGGAATAGGAATGTGCATTTCGGGTGAATTGTTATCCATTTTTGCTTGCTGGATACCAATATCTCCCCATATCCGTTTTCCAGCACTCCTGAAAAGGGGTGCAGAAAGTGACTTGACGGCACACAACATCCATGTTTCTGAATGGGATCATGGATGCTAAGTGTTAGGTTTGTGCATTTCGGGTGAATTGCTATCCATTTCTGCTTGCTGGATACTTGAACCCCCCCCCCCCCCATATCCATTTTCCAACACTCCTGAAAACGGGCGCAGAAAGTGACTTGACAGCACACAACAGCCATGTTTCCAAATGGGATCCGGGATACTAAACATTAGGGAATAGACATATGCATTTTGACTGAATTGCTATCCATTTCTGCTTGCTGGATACCAAAATCCTCCCACATCCATCTTCCAGCACTCCTGAAAATGGGTGCGGAAAGTGACTTGATGGCACACAACAGCCATGTTTCTAAATGGGATCAGGGATGCTAGGTTTTTGGGTCTAGGCTTGTGCATTTCGGGTGAATCGCTATCCATTTCTGCTTGCTGGATACCGGAATTCCCCCATATCCATTTTCCAGCACTCCTGAAAATGGGCACGGAAAGTGACTTGACAGCACACAACAGCCATGTTTCTAAATGGGATCAGGGATGCTAAGTGTTTGGGTACAGGCTTGTGCATTTCAGGTGAATCGCTATCCATTTCTGCGTGCTGGATACTGGAATTCCCCCATATCCATTTTCCAGCACTCCTGAAAACGGGTGCGGAAAGTGACTTGACTGCACACAACAGCAATGTTACTGAATGGGATCAGGGATGCTAAGTGTTAGGCTTGTGCATTTCAGGTGAATTGCTATCCATTTCTGCTTGCTGGATGCTGGATTCCCCCAATATCCGTTTTCCAACACTCCCGAAAATGGGTGCAGAAAGTGACTTGATGGCACACAACAGCCATGTTTCTGAATGGGATCAGGGATGCTAAGTGTTAGGGAATAGGCTTTCTTCGTGGGATTGTGCTTCCTTAGAGCTGTTTCTATCTATTCCAGAGGAGAGGTAGGCTTCTCTTTTTTGTATGCTGGGATTACTATTATAAATAATAATCTTTTAGAAGTATTTCCTAAAGAAGAGGAAGGGAAGGAGAAAAAGAAACTAAAAGGGTTAAAGCCCCCAAGCGCACATGTGCACACCCCACCCATCATTCCTCAGGTCTCCAACTCCGAGTCAGTTCCACTAAATAACAAGAATCAGGAAAATAAAGGAAAATCAAAAAGATTAAACTGTGATGCCGAATAGAGGAGGAGGAGATGTGATCAGCTCCCGCTTGCTTTCGTGTTGGGTAGGTTTTCGTACCGGAGGACCCTGACCGTTTTGGGCTCCCGAGCTCCCGAGGTACTGAAATTACTGAAGGAAACGAAAGAAACAAAATCTGTGCACAATACTGTTAGGGAAATTCCTAGACTTTTCCCCCCAGTATTACTTTAATCTGGAACTGTTTAAGCTTTTCTCACAGAAGACAACAATCTCTAAAAGAATCTTGGCTTTGTTCTGCTCATCACAAGTGGTAGGGTCTTCTTGGTGATGTCCCAATTTTTATTTTACTAAGTGATGTTCTCCTTTCTCTGCATTCAGGGGAAAGCCCACCGCGGATGGCAAATGCCCCGTTGGGAGCGACTTTCCGCGAAACACGAACTCACGTGGCACGCCACTTGGGGTTTCGAGCCTGACGTATCAGATCAATAAGTTGCTCCTCGCCGGCCCAGAAGGCACAGCCGTAAACCGCTACGCTGACCACCGACATCAACAGCCAGCTCTTGAACAGGCAACTCCAGAGGAAGAAGGCTTGCAACAGCTGAGCAGGAGAGAGGAAGGAGACTGGCGCCTCAATCCGGGTTACAACCTGGAATCTCAACATCAGAGAACCACAACGAAGGCACGTTCCCAAAACCTGACCAGACCGAGGCCCATGTCGGCAAAAGAGTGCTACAGGAATGCTTGGAACCATCTTTTTAGTGGCGAGGGGGATCAGACCACAGAGAAAGAAGATGCTGAGGAAAACAGGCCCGAGCTGAGTGCCGGCAGCAAGGCTGCCATCATTCAAACCCGAAGTGCCATTGTCGTTCCGACCATTGCTCCGTACTTCTCCAACGAAAACCTGGCAGCAGAGGGGCCTCCCTGCAACACCGCTGACCAGTTTCGCACCAAGATGAAGCAGCATGGGCTTTTCAATACCGGTTTTACCCAACCAAGGCCAGGAGAGATGTTGACGGGGAGTCTTGCACAAGAGAGAGGGCTGGCAAACGATTTCACAGCCCTCCGGAGCAGAAGGTTTGAGGCCCTGGGTATGGATGCGTGGTAGACCCCCCCCCCCCCCTGGTCGGGAAGTACCACTGAATTGGACCATCGTTGGGACTCGCTTTATCAGCAGCGGGGACTTCGAAAGGCTCAGCTGAGCAGTTTATTTTGAAGAAAAAACATGTTTTGAGAATTGAGCCTTGTTTGAATTGCTCTGTAGCCCATGGTTTAGCTCAGTATGTATGTATTTGTGTATGTATGCATGTTGTGGATTTATCTCACTCACATAGCCCATGGTTTAGTTCAGTATGTATGTATTTTTGTATGTATGCATGTTGTGGATTTATGTAACTCACAAACTGACGTGCAAGGCAGCTCTCAGGATTAATGAAACACTGGGTAAGCACGTGTGCATGCATCTGAACATGTTTGTGGACTGAACATCCCATCACCCCCAACATGACTGTGCTGGGAGCTCCAGTCCAACACTATCTAGAGATCCCCTTCCATATAGAAGGCCATTCAGCTATAATGGAGTGTTCTGTGTGTATGTGGTCTGGATTGAGAAGCATTGAAGAAAACCAATCTTGGGTCACCAGGCTTCAAAGCCATAAGCAATTCAATGCCAAAGACACAGTTTGAGCCCTCCGGCCTGTAACAGCAGTTAACTACAACCCCATCCACACTGCCATAAAAAATATGAATTATCTGCTTTGAAGTGGATTATACGGCAGTGTAGATTCATATAACCCAGTTCAAAGCAGACAATCTGGATTATATGGCAGTATAGAATGGGCCTAGAGGTCTACAATTAACTTTTAACCACATATCTTTTTCTCTTGTTGAAAAGGAACAGCAAACAGCATACATCATTCTCATATATACACACACACACATACATGTATGTATGTATGTATATGTATATATCAGTGTTTATATGTGTGTATGTATGTATGTGGCAGCTTTCCAATTGGCTGCCACTTCCACAGGTCATTGTGACTCCCACAAATGATGGACCTGGACCTGGCATAATAATCCGTATGACTCACTTTATGTCCTGGTGTGGTTTAGGGGCAGATGGAACACGGATTATGGGATTTGCAGTACTTTCAATCACTGTGGCTCCCACAGACCACTGCGACCCCCACCAATGATAGATCAGGACCAAACTTGGCACAAATAGCCCCATGACCCACTTTACATCCTTGTGCGGTTTGGGAAAGGATGGACTACAGATGATGGGATTTGCAGTACCTTCACTCACTTCCAGAGACCACAGTGACCCCCACAAATGACGGACCTAGACCAAATTTTGCACACACACACACACACACACAGACAGTGACGCACCTCATGCCCTGGTGAAATTTGGGGGACGATGGATAATGGATGATGGGATTTTAAGTGCCTTCACACTATTCCTCAGACCATTGCGACCCCCACAAATGACGGACCTCGACCATATTTGTTACACAGACGCCCCATGATCCACTTTATGTCCTGGTGTGGATTGGGTGAGCATGGACCATGGATGATGGGGTTTGGAGTAACTGAACATACTGCAGGAGTTTCTGGGAATTGATCTTGATTTTGGGAGTTGTAGTTCACCTCCATCCAGAGAAACAGTGACCCCCCCCCCCAACCGACAGTAGACTGGGACAGCTTGGCACAGAGAAGCCCCCTAACAACTGAACATACAGGTGGTGTTTGGGGGCAAGTCCCCTGGGAATCTGGAAGTTGTAGTTCTCCAGGAACATGAGAGAAGCCTTCCACAAAGATGATAAAACATCCGGGTGTCCCCTGGGCAACATCCTTGCAGGCAACCAATTCTCTCACACCAGAAGTTCTCCCTTATCCAGAGAACACTAAACCCAGCCAATGATGGATCTGGACCAAACCTGGCACACAGACCTAACATGGCCAATTGCGAATACTCTCAGGGTTTGGGGGTGGTGGCCCTGGGAATCTGGGAGTTGTAGTTCACCCTTATCCAGGAAGCATTAAACCCAGCCAATGACAGATCTGGACCAAGCTTAAGTGATATTACCTAACATCCCAAAACAAACAATGCCTTCTTCTAATAATCCAGGTACTGCCAGGTTCGCAAACAAGTATATATATGAATTATTGAAAACATCCAACATTATGTTTATATTTTAGAAAAACTTGATCTGGTCTTCTTTTCATTCCTTGAGCCCAAATCCCAGGTAGAGGTCATTGATGTAACATTGACTGCAATATTATCTTCTAGTTCGGAAGTGGGGACCGTGTGTGGCCTTGCAGAAGTTCCTGTACTGCAAATCCCACTGGTTCCAGGACCATGGGAGCTGCAGTACATCGGCATTTTGGAAAGACCAGCGCAGTGCTTCAAACAAACACAGTCCAAGCGACGCTGAAGGGTTCCACATTTCTGGACAGAACATGGTGAGCATCCGACCTCTTGTTGACGGTGGGAGGAAACCACCTTTGTTCAGGCCTAAAGTGAGGCCGGGGTGGGGACTGTTGGCAAGGACAAGTCCATGGAAGGAGCCTCAGCTGTTTGGGCTGGGCTGGGCTTTCGGAGTTCAAGTTTCTCATTTAGTTGGTTGTACAGCTCCTTCACTGCTTCACCGCTCTGGCCAAGGAGAAGAAGAAAAGAAAGAAAGATGAAAGCTATTGATGACACTTTCCCAAGGGAAGCAAATAAAGGCAGTCCCCAAGTTACAAACAAGAGAGCTTCTGTAGATTTGCTCCCCAGGACAATTTATTATGATTTATTTTATTTATTTCATGCACTTTTACCCTGCCCTTCTCCACTCGAAGAGGGACTCGGGACAGCCTCACACAAGCACCATACGATGCTGTCAACAGGTAAACAATTCAAAGTACAATTAAAGCATTAAAATCATTAAAACATTAAAAAAATCAATAAAACACATTATACAATTCATTAGATAGTAGATTATACATGTCGGTAAAACCAAATCCAAGTCTAGGCAGATTCAATGTCATAAATATCCTAAGTCTTTTGTCCTATAACTCTTTCAAAAGTGAATTTCCTTTCCTAGAGGTAGATTCCTCTCACTTCCTGTTATCTCACCCCTGGCACCCTTGTGCTGGCAGGACTGAAGACTGACAGGTCAGCGGTTCGAATCCTGGGAGAGCAGGTTGAGCCCCCTCTGTCAGCTCCAGCTCCCCATGCAAGGACTTGAGAAAAGCCTCCCACAAGGATGGTAAAAAATCAAAACATCCAGGTGTCCCCTGGCAATATTCTTGCAGACGGCCAATTCTCTCACATCAGAAGCGACTTGCAGTTTCTCAAGTTGCCCCTGACAAGAAAAGAAATTCTGGGCACCACAACTGAAGATATTGACAAGCTGGAATGTGTCCAAAGGAGGGCAAACTAAAATGATCAAGGGTCTGGAGAACAAGCCCTATGAGGAGCGGCTGAAAGAGCTGGGCATGTTTAGCCTGGAGAAGGCTAAGAGGAGATATGATAACCATGTATAAATATGTGAGAGAAAGTCATAGGGAGGAGGGAGTGAACTTGATTTCTGCTGCCCTGGAGACTAGGACGCAATGGAGCAATGGCTTCAAACTACAAGAAAGGAGATTCCACCTGAACATTAGGAAGAACTTCCTGACTGTGAGAGCTGTTCAGCAGTGGAACTCTCTGCTCCACTGCTCCTTCTTTGGAAACTTTTAAACAGAGGCTGGATTGCCATCTGTCAGGGGTGCTTTGTATGCAACTTTCCTGCTTCTTGGCAGGGGGTTGGATTAGATGGCCCATGAGGTCTCTTCCACCTCTATGATTCTATTATTCTACCCTGCTCTTAACTGTGAGTCGTTTGTAACTCAGGGATGGCTTGTACTGACATTCTTTGGAGTGTTTTCAACACATAGGCATAAAATCACAATACTGGAAAACAGAGTGCCACGGGTGACTGCTGCTTTAGAGTTTAGCCACAAAGCATTCAGGACAAAAAATGGAGGCAGAACTGAGAAAAAACAAACCATAACAGCAGCAATCAATTGTTAAAAAGCACTGGGAGTGTGGCGCAGCTGGCTGGGAGTCAGCTGCATTAAGATCACTACTGACTGAAAGGTCATGAGTTCGAAACCAGCCCGGGTCGGAGTGAGCTTCCGACCAAAACTGTGTAGCTTGTTGTCAATCTTTGCAGCCCGAAAGACAGTTGCATCTGTCAAGTAGGAAATTTAGGTACCACTTATGTGGGGAGGCTAATTTAACCGATTTACGAGGCCATAAAAATCTCCAGGAAGTATGCAAAGAATGAGGAAGTACTTCATCAGTGCCACAAACGGACAGTGAAGTGATAGCTCCCCTGGTGGCCAGAAGCTGGAATGTTAAATAGTCTCTGAGTGTCTGTCTATATGTTGTGTGTCTATGGCATTGAATGTTTGCCATATATATGCACATTATAATCCGCCCTGAGTCCCTGCAGGGTGAGAAGGGCAGAATATAAATACTGTAAATAAACAAATAAATTTTCCAAATGCACATGCACCACAGGTAATGTCTTCAGGACTCTTTTGCCAGCGGTCTTTCCCATTTCAGTTGGTTTATGGAATCTTTCCAAAGAGCCAAACCCTATTTTTGCTGTGAAACACGAAATGATCGGTTTATTTGGGTATATAATTTCGGGTCTCATTCAATGACAATGGCAGGGGAAGTGGAAATTGCAAGGACAGCTTCATGCAAATTAATATTGGACGTCCATGTTTCAGAGACTTCAACTCCCAGAGTTCCGGTAAGTGATTAGGGATAATGGGAGCTGTACTCCAAAACACATAGAAAATTATAGTCAAACAATAAAGATGCCAAGGCAGGAAGAAAATCTGGGTTGGGTACATGCCTGCAATGTATCACCTGACTTTTGCAGCATTTACCCACAGTTTAAGTAATTCTTTGAAGTATTATTGCATCCCCATAAAGCAAAGTAGATAGGAAGGATATATATGAAGGATCCACCATTACAGATGCTGGTGTTTTTAAACTAGAGAAGAAAATGGCTACAATACACAATAGTCACATGTTTTTACCTGCTTGGTGGGCTCTAGGGATTTTTGCAGGGACTCCAGCTTGGCAGGAACCACTTTGTGGTGGAGGTGAAGCAGCAGCCTCAGCATGTGCCTGTGCACATTCTCTTTCCTGTGAAGCGCCAGAAAGAGTTATGAGTCGCCAAGTCACCCAGGAAGGCAGCTTTGTTTAGAACAGTGTTTCTCAACCTGGGGGTCAGGATCCCTGGGGGAGGGTCGTGAGGGGGTGGCAGAGGGGTCACCAAAGACCATCAAAAAACACAGTATTTTCTGTTGGTCATGGGGTCTCTGTTTAGAAAGTTTGGCCCAATTCTCTCATGGGTGGGGTTCAGAATGCTCTTTGATTGTAGGTGAACTATAAATCCCAGCAAATATCAAGGTCTATTTTCCCCCAAACTCCACCAGTGTTTACATTTGGGCATATGGAATATTCATGCCAAGTTTGGTCCAGATCCATCATTGTTTGAGTCCACAGTGCTCTCTGGATGTAGATGAACTACAACTCCAAAACTCAAGGTCAGTGTCCACCAGACCCTTCCAGTATTATCTGTTGGTCATGGGAGTTCTGTGTGCCAAGTTTGGTTCAATTCCATCATTGGTGGAATCAGGATACTCTTTGATTTTAGATTAACTATAAATCATAGCAACTACAACTCCCAAATGACAAACTCAATCCCCTTCCCTAACCCCACCAATATTCAAATTTGGGAAAATCAGGTATTTTTGCCGAATTTGATCCAGTGAATGAAAACTCATTCTGCATATCAGATATTTACATTACAATTCATAACAGGAGTAAAATTATGGTTATGAAGTAGCAACAAAAATAATGTTATGGTTGGGGGGTCACCACAACATGAGGAACTGTATTAAGGGGTCGCGGTATCAGGAAGGTTGAGAAACACTGGTTTAGAATGAAATGTTTATTACTATATATATTTAGTTATGGAAGTAAATTAAAACATTGTCAGTCATCATTACATTTTTTCCCATATATTCTCATAACATTCTGATGATTCCCTGTTTTTCTATCCTTTACATTTCTATACTTATCTATTATTCCATGCAGTCATGCCATCCAGATGACTTTGGAGGTGTCTACAGACAATGCCGGCACTTCAGCTTAGAAATGGAGATGAGCACCAATCCCCAGAGTTGGGCACGACTGGACTTAATGTCAGGGAAAAACCTTTACCTTTACCTATATCTATCAATTTTTTCCCCTTCCCTCTTTCTCTCTCCAGGAACAGTTGTACCCCTGCTCTATGTATTATTTTATTTTAAAGGACTACCACCTCACCCGCTTCATAGGAAATCTGCTACAAAACAGGAGCTTTTTTGTGAGTTCCAGAGTCCGAGAAGCAGATGGCAGAAACACAAGAACAGCCTGCCTCAGGGGAGCGTGCTTGCCTCAGGGGAGCGTGTTTAACATTTACACAAATCATCATCCACTGCCAGAAGGGACAGAGAGTTTCATCTATGCTGACGATCATGCCATCACCACCCAAGCAGGGAGCTTTGAAATGGTTGAATAGAAGCTCTCCAAAGCTTTAGGTGCTCTTACTGGCTATTACAGGGAAAAATAGCTGATTCCTAATCCATCTAAAATGCAGTGTGTGCTTTTCATCTTAAGAACAGTCAAACATCTTGAGCTCTGAAGTCTGACTTGACTATGGTGGTCCACGCCTTAGTTACCTCTAGACTGGATTACTGTAATGCACTCTACGTGGGGCTACCCTTGAAGATGGCCCGGAAACTACAACCTGTCCAACGTTTGGCAGCCAGATTAATAACTGGGGCTAGCTATAGGGAACCGTCGACTCCCATGTTTAAGGAGCTCCACTGGCTGCTGTTATTTACCCAATTCAAGGTACAGGTTATCACCTACAAAGCCCCAAACGGTTTGGGACCGGCGTACCTTTGTGACCGTATCTCTCTCCATGTACCAACCCGTGCCCTTCAATCTTCGGGAGAGGCCCTCCTTTCACCCCTACCAATCTCACAAGCTCATCTTGTGGGCACAAGGGAGAGAGCCTTCTCCTCTGTGGCCCCCCGACTCTGGAACTCATTACCTGGAGAGAACAGGAAAGCCCCCTCACTAGAAACGTTAAAAAGGAATCTTAAAACCTGGCTCTTCCGCTGCGCCTTTGGCGAGTAGATGTATAACACGATACTATTGCTCCCCTCAATGCTTCTGCCACTGGAGTACATGCCCTCCAAATGGGAAGTTTAGTTTCACAACTATATTTGTTTTTACGAGCTCCCTGCAAATAACCTGCTCCTATTTTTATCTCGTTAGAATCTTTTAATTGTTTTATCCTGTACATGTGGCCCGCCCACTGTTATCGTGACTGTGATTATTAGAATGGGTTTTTTTTCTTATGTAATTTTGATGATGTTGTTTGTTGTTTATGTTTTTGGTTTTATTCTGCTGTAATATGTTGTCCAGGCTTGGCCCCATGTCCCCACTGGGGAGATGGTGGCAGGGTATAAATAAAGATGATGATGATGATTATTATTATTATTATTTGGGAAGGAATCCCACTGGAGAATTGCAACATGCCCAAATCTCTAGAAGTCACTCTGGACCGTGCTCTGCCTTATGTGATCAAAAAGCAGACAGTCCTCCACTCCAGAGGAAGGTCACACGAAGAGTGCTATTTCTAGAGATTCCCAATCCAAGGCACAGATCTGGGGTACGCTGCATCGGAAAGAAGGAAGTTACCTTGAACAGGCGGGGAGGAAGACGTTGTCAAAGAGGCTGGTGCAGAACTCCTCTTGCCCGAATTCATCCGCCAGGAGGGTGAGGTTCCCAGTGAGCAAGTGCAGGAAAATGTCACCAAAGGCCAGGTCATTGAAAGTCTCCACTGCAGAAGCCGCCAAGTAAGAACCAAACACATAGAACAACCTTGTAGCACATTTGAGACTAACAGCGAAAGAAGCCTTCAAAGACTTTAGTCTTCATGGAATGATATGCCTAAAAACAGAGCTTTATGAGCAGACTCCATGTGTAAATAAATAGCCATGGATGTTGAAGGAGATGTAAGCCTGTGAAAGGTAATGCCAGGGGTCCACAAACTTTTTAAACAGAAGGCCAGGTCACAGTCCTTCAAACTGTTGGAGGGTCGGATTATTTGAAAAAAAAAACCATGAATGAATTCCTATGTACACTGCACATATCTTATTTGTAGTGGAAAAACACTTAAAAACAATACAATAATTAAAATTAAGATCAAATTTAACAAATATAAACTTATTAGTATTTCAATGGGAAGTGTGGGCCTGCTTTTGGCTGATGAGATAGGATTGTTGTTGTTGTTGTGGAGCTTTCAAGTCGTTTCAGACTTAGGTTGACCCTGAGCGAGGGCCCGGTAAATGACCTTGGAGGGCCGTATCCAGCCCCCAGGCCTAAGTTTGAGAACCCCTAGGTTATGCTATCAACGTCTTTTGGTGTGTCGGCAGATAAGGCCAGAGGGGAAACAAGTTAACTCACCCAAAGCTGGAAGCAGCCGAAGAAAAGCGTTCTTGTTCCTCAATTTAGTGATATGGAGCACATAGTAAAGGCCAATCTCGCAGGCAATGCGGTGCTCCTGCAGAAATCTACGATGCAAGTGGGAAATGCATCACTTGCCAGCAGAGCAATCTCAAACACATTAAGGTCACTGTTCAGCCTCCCCAGCCTTCACACGGAGTTGGGACTTAACTAGCAAATGCTTAACAGCTACGGTGACTCACTTCGGAAACATCTCTGGGATGGCGGTGGGATAAGGTGCTGGGCCTTTGTCTTCTGAAGGCAGCTTCTGATCAACAGTGAACGTGTAATCATCCACCACAAAGGACATCAGCAAGGGCAAGAACTTGGTGATCAAGTCCACTTCCTTAGATCGACAGAAGAAAACAGGAAGTAGGAACAATGGGATGTTTAACATCACCTACATTTTTCAATTCCTCCTAACGGCAAGTCGCTTCTGGTGCTTTGGGTGCTTTTACTGTCTGTTACAGGGAAAACCAGCCGATTCCTAATCCATTTAAAATTCAGACGTGTGCAGTCAACCCCCGTTTAAGGAGCTCCACTGGCTGCCGTTCATTTTCCGGTCCCAATTCAAGGTGCAGGTTCTTACCTACAAAGCCCTGAACAGTTTGGGACCCGCTTACCTGTGTGACCGCATTTCTATGTACAAACCCACACGACCTCTTCGATCACCTGGAGAGGTCCTGCTCTCACTCCCGCCCCCTTCGAAGGTGCGATTGGTGGGGACGAGGGAGAGGGCCTTCTCTGTGGTGGTCCCCCGACTCTGGAAGTCACTTCCTAAGGATATCAGGCAAGCCCCACATTGGCAAACAATAAGTGCAGCAGATGAAGGCCTCATTACTGACCACTACAGTAAATTTTCTCTTGTAGGTGTCTTAGTTCCTCTATAGAGTTTGGTAATTCTCATCACAAAGATTTTAGAACAACACTGATTTAAGCAGATATGGCCTACCATTTTGGGTTCCTTGAAGATCTGGCTGTCAATCATGTCCCAGGCTCCCTGCCCCAGCGACAACATCCTCAAGAGAAGTAAAAGATCGGGGCTTTCCTGTAAGGCAAGCAATGACGACCTGTCAGGTTTCTAGATTGAGCTAACTTACTTTCAAGCCCATTCATTTATCTGTGTTATAATGGAGTTTAGAAACAGAAAACAGGGGGATTCCAGACAGGGCCAGGTAACACCTCCCAACAAAGGATTCCCCAGGAAGTAACCAGCCAGACTTTGAAGCTGCAAGGCCATTCAATGCTAATCAAGATGACCAATGGCAACATTCATACTTGCCTCAAGCAGACCAGAGTTCTTTCTCCCACCCTGGACATTATTCCACAGATATATAAACCCTACTTGCTTAGTTTCCAACAGACCTTACAACCTCTGACGATGCCTGCCATAGATGTGGGCAAAACGCCAAACAGCCCAAAAACTCACAGCAACCCAGTGATTCTGGTCATGAAAACCTTTGACAACACATAGAACCTCTCTTGTTCGTAATTTGAAGACTGTGTGTAGTAAACCTGAGTCTCCAGAGGCCCAATTCTTAGGGACCACAGTTCTTAGGAGTCCATTAGCTACTATATTTTCTTTTGACGAAGGGATGGATCAGAAGGGGGTGGGGGATTTTTGACCCTATCGCTCCACAATCTCTTCCTGCCAACATGGCAGCTGGGAGTTTGGAAAGATGGTCCTCAGTTTCTGGATGGCTCAAAAAAAAAAAACCAAACCTCTTGAGATGAGGACCTTGGGCTTGAGTCCAGGGGGTGCTGTTGGTCTATCCTCTATGACGAAGAGCCGTCAGGACTTCCTCTTTCCTTTAGGTTGCCCAGCATTTTCTGATCTTCTTTCTTTATGGCATCGTAAAATACCTCCCCCGCTTTAAGCGTTACCTAATTCCTCTAATTACAGCTAAAGCTGTTTTCGAATTGCTTAGGTAAACAATGAGCTAGGCTGACAGTTGGCAGCTCACGCCAACCCGGGGCTTCGAACTTGCAACCTTTTGGTTGATAGATCTTATAATTGCTGGTGATTTAACAGCTGTGCTAAACCTCCTGGCCTCACAACCTCTGAGGATGTTTGCCATAGATGTAAGAAAAACATCAGGAGAGAATGCTTCTAGAACATGGCCATATAGCCCGAAAAACCTACAACAGCCCAGTGATTCCAGCCATAAAAGCCTTCAACAATACAGTTCTTCATACTCTTTGGTAACCTGCAACTTTCCCCTCACCCTGGGCAACATGTCCTGCCCCACCAGCTCCTGTAAGTGGCGGATGGTGCTCAGCGCCAAGGTATTGATGGCGAATGGGTCGCACAAGATCATGGATAAGTCCCTGGAGTATGGGAGGAATGACAAAGAAAACAACAATGCATCAGACACAACCAACAACTGAGAGTGCTTCTCACTCAAGCAAAAAGCTTATTTTGGAGCTGAATTTCTGTTTTAATTCATGATGGATTTTGAATATAGCTGATCTACTCTCATTATCCTATCTTTATTTATTTACTATATGTATACTCCGCTCTTCTCACCCCAAAGGGAATTCAGAGCGGCTTACAGATTATGGCAAAATTCAATGCCACATTATATATATATATATATAATAAATATAATATATATATAATACATATAATAATAATAATTCTTTATTTATACCCCGCCACCATCTCCCAAAAGGAGACTCAGATAATAAATATGACATATCAAATAATAAAACAGTTAAAAGATATAAATACAATGGAACAGATTAAAACATAGTGCTGAGTCCCATGGTCATTATTCAAGCTGCTACATTCAAGTCAGAATCCAAATTATCCTACTCCTTGAATGCCAGTGTGCAAAGCCAGGTCTTAAGCTTTTTCCTGAAGACCAGGAGGGATGGGGCCACTCTGATGTCACTGGGGAAGGAGTTCCATAACCCAAGGGCCACCACTGAGAAGGCCCTGTCTCTCATCCCCACTAGTCACACTTGTGAAGAGAGTGGGACTGAGAGCAGGGCCGCCCCAACAGATCTTAAAGCTCTAATTGACTCATAAAGGGAAATATGTTCAGACAGGTAAGTTGAACCAGGACCGTTTAAGGCAGTGGTTCTCAACCTGGGGTCCCCAGATGTTTTTGGCCTACAAGTCCCAGAAATCCCAGCCAGTTTACCAGCTGTTAGGACTTCTGGGAGTTGAAGGCCAAAAACAGCTGGGGACCCCAGGTTGAGAACCACTGGTTTAGGGCTTTATAGGTCTGAATTGAGCCCAGTAGCAAACTGGCAGCCAGCGGAGCTGATGTAATGGGGGTTATATGCTCCCTTTATGCCGTTCCAGTGAGGAAACTTGCTGTCGCCCATTGGGCTACTTGTAGCTTCCGGCAGCCCCACGTAGAGTGCGTTGCAGTAGTCTATTCAAAATGGAATAAGAGCGTGGACCACCGCGGCCAAGTCTGGCTTCTCAACAGTATATGCTAGCAGTAATTTCTAGATGCCATTGTTCAGCACCCTTGCATAGGAGAGAACTGTGAACATTCACATATATATCCAAGTTTAATATCTAGCCTCAGCTTTCTTGTCTTCTGTGCTACGCTAATAATATAATATAATATAATATTTATAATATTATAATGTAGTACAATATACTAATGATAATATGATATCATTTTATATTTTATATTAAATGTAATATTACCAATAATATTACAATATAATAATATAATACAATATAGTAATATATAATACTTATATTGTACTATGCTAATAATATAATATATTGCATTTATATATATCTTGTAAGCCGCAATGAGTCCCCTTCGGGGTGAGAAGGGCAGCATATAAAGGTCGTAAATACATAAATAAATATAACCCCCAAACCTGGCATGTTCTGCACTTTGTTTTGTACTCTTGAGGCTGTGTGACAACTTTTGTGCAAGGCATGAAACTTTCTAGGTTGTAGAGCACAGTTTCTAGCACAAACTCTCATTCTGTCAACACACACAGCCATCTTTCTCCTTTTTGACTTGGTGCATTCTTCTGCAATGATTAAGAATACTCAGTTGTCCAACTGAGAACATGCATCGATGTATATTTGTGATAAGAGAACATAGGATCTTGGACACTGTGACATCCTTGGCAATATGAGAAGGGGCCATTCTCAGAGTACTCACCCCAGCACTTGCTCTTGGCCTTTCTTCACTCCGTCGAGGAAGCCCTGCAGCTCTCGCGCTCGCTTGTTGTCAACGAACTTCTCCCGAATGCAGGCATCCAGGCACCAGGTGAACTGCCAAAGAAGTCAAATGTTTAATAGCTGCCACAGAAACCCATGGCTGCAGAAATGGGGTTTATGTATCTGTGGAATGTCCAGGGTAGAAGGAAAAAACCCTGGACACACCCACCTCTTTCTCCCACCCTGGACATTCCAGATACGAGGGTTGAATGAAAAGTAATGCCTCTGCCTTTGTTTCTTGGGTTTGGATAGGAATATTTAAATAAAACGAACACAGAAATAATCCTTAGATTACTTAACTACCACTATTCAGTTTTCCACATAATCACCAGACAATTAGATAAATTTCTGCCAATGATGAACAAGTTTTCTGAAGTCATCACAGAAGAACTCGACACTCCGGTTCTGCAACCAGCGCCTCACAGTTCTCTCAATGTCTTCCTCAGAAGCATAATGATGTCCCGCAGATCTTCTTTCATTATTGGGAACAGATGGAAGTCAGACGGTGCTAAATCTGGATGTCGTATGATGGTGAGATCCAGTCTCTGAAGTTTTAAGTCTGTGTGCTTTCATTTCAGGCATCAGCATCCTGGGTACCCATCGTGCACAGATCTTCCAATAGCCAAACAAAGCAATAATGTGACCCACACATTCTTGTGAAATGCCAATTATGTTTGCAATTTCTCTCTGAGTGATCCTACGATTGTCCTGAATCAATCTGTCAATCTTTTGCTTGTGAAACTTGGTGGTTGCTGTCTCAGGACGTCCAATTCTTTGTTTGTCACGCAAGTCAGATGTTCCCACCTCAACATCTTTAAACTTCCTCGCCCAACGATGCACAGTACTCACATCAACACAATCACCATAAACAACTTGCATTCTCTGATGAATCTCCTTTGGGGTGACACCTTCTGCTGTCAAGAATTCAATGACTGCACATTGCTTAAGTCACACTGACCGACCGTCTGCGCAGGGTTCCATACTTTGCACTTTAACAACAACCGTTTAATGCTAAGGCTTCCTGCCAAAATGGAACTGTAGAGGAGAGTCTACTGAACAAGCCAGTATCTGCCGGATACCAGTACTGCCATCTGTTGAGGAGTTACAAAGGTGGAGGCATTACTTTGCATTTTAACAATGCAATCGTTCAATGCTAAGGCTTCCTGCCAAAATGGAACTCTAGAGGAGAGTCTACTGAATAAGCCAGTAACTGCCTCATACCAGTACTGCCATCTGTTGAGGAGTTACAAAGGTGGAGGCATTACTTTGCACTTTAACAACACAACTGTTCAATGCTAAGGCTTCCAACCAAAATGCTTAAGTTGCATTGACCGACTGTCTGTGCAGGGTTCCATACTTTGCACTTTAACAAAACAACAATTCAATGCTAAGGCTTCCCGCCAAAATGGAACTGTAGAGGAATCTACTGAACAAGCCAGTACCTGCCGCATATCAGTACTACCATCTGTTGAGGGGTTACAAAGATGGAGGCATTACTTTTCATTCAACCCTCGTAAATAAATACAATTTTTCTAGTTTCCAAAAGACCCCATAACCTCTGAGGATGCCTCCCATAGATGTGAGTGAAACAGTGCATTAGATTCGAGTAAATGGTTCAACACCATCTAGAAAGCCACTTGATTCCCAATCCTTATAATCCAGGGAGGTTTGCAGTCCGTCTGTCAAGGACCGAACCTGATCTAGGCCGTCTTTACCTTGTGGCAGGGGTCCACCGTGCAAATCTCACTGATCTCCAGGTCATGCAGCGACATCAGCAGCTCAGCCCGCAGCGTGCAGTAATGGACATTGCGCGTCCGCAGGAAGAGGGTCCTCAGGAACTGCAGCACCATGTCATAAAGCTTCACATTCTTCCCAATCATCTGGGTGAGCTTTTGAACCACCTTCACCCCCAAAGAGATAAGAAAAAGCCCTCAGTCAACAAAGCACAATCAGCCCTATAGGATCTGCACCCACAGATTCAAACAACCACAAAATATTTGAAGGTGTAGGGTGGAATAATCCAAAAAGTAAACCTTAATTGGTTCAAAATACCGGTTCTGCCCTTCCGCTCTTACCTCTCCCTGGCGCCGGGTCTTGGGCGAGGGACTGAAAAAATTATGCAGGACGGAGAGGTCGCAGCTGAACAGGGCCGTCTCCTTCTCCAGGATGTACTGCTTCAGCAATGGGGAGACTTCGTCGCCAAAGAGAGCCTGGTTATCTTGCCAGATCTGACGCTTCACCTCCACAGCGCAGGCTTTGTACAAGTCTTTGTCAGCCATAACCAACTTCAGCTTTTTTTCAGGAACCTGCAGAGAATGGAAAGGTGAATTAATCCCCAGGTTAGTCCTGAAACATATCTTGTTCTTCCATAGAGGGAAGAGGTTGGCCTTGGGATTACTTATGGGAGTTCTGGAAGGTGGCAGATTGGAAATACCCCATATTTACACGAATCTAATGTGCCACTGAATCCAATGCATACACTAATTTTCAAAACACCAAAACTCAAAAAAAAATGTGTTGGTGATTGTAACATGCAGTGCAAAAAGTGGACTCTTTAGAACAATATAATACTACTAATAATAATACAATACTATAATTATATATTTACATTACATGTAATATTACTAATAATATTACAATATAATGGTATAGTGCAATATAGTAATATATAATACTGATATTGTACTATCCTAATAATATAATATATTATATGAAAATATATATTGTAAGCCGCTCTGAGTCCCCTTCGGGGACTGCACTCTACGTGGGGCTGCCCTTGAAAACGGCCCGGAAATTCCAATTGGTACAACAGGTGGCAGCCAGGTTACTAACTGGTGTGACTTACAGGGAGCAGTCAACCCCTGTTTAAGGAGCTACACTGGCTGCCGTTCATTTTCCGGTCCCAATTCAAGGTGCAGGTTCTTACCCGCCTACCTGCATGACCGCATTTCTGTGTACAAATCCACATGATCTCTTCAATCATCTGGAGAGGCCCTGCTCATGCTCCTGCCTCCTTTGCAGGCGCGGTTGGTGGGGACGAGGGAGAGGGCCTTCTTGGTGGTGGCCCCCCGACTCTGGAACTCACTTCCCAGGGATATTAGGCATGCCGCAACATTGGCAGACTTTAGGAGGAGCCTGAAAACGTGACTGTTCCAGTGTGCCTTCCCAGAATAAGGAAATAATTCCCAGCAATATGATCTCAGAATGCACTTTAACTATCCTACCAGATATATCCTACCTTGTTCATGACCAGCATTTATTTTTTAAATTTTAAGCTATTATATTTGGCCCGGCCATAGGTTAAATCCTTGTGTGTTATTGCCTATATGTGATTTATATTAATTCGTATTGTATTGTATTGTTTATTGCTTTTTTGTTTTATTGATGTGTTGCTGGGTTTGGCCTCATGTAAGCCGCTCCAAGTCCCTTGGGGAGATGGTGGCGGGGTATAAATAAAGTATTATTATTATTATTATTATTATTATTATTATTATTATTATATAAATGCCATAAATAAATCAATAAACAAACAAACAGTGGTTCCCAACCTTTTTTAAACCAGGGAGCACTTGACCAGGGACCACTTTGTCCAGGGACAACTCTCCAATATTAGTACCAAATGGGTTATAAAATCAGTTTTTGGTCAACTTTAGATTCCGTTTGGTTATTTGGGGTGCTGATTCAGAAAATTGCATTGGACAGACCAAATCAGCCATAGTGTGACATAATGTATTGAGCCTCGTTGCGGGACAAAGCTGCATAGAAATCAAATTATTTGTATTCAACCTGTACCTTGGGCAGGTGTTTCATGACACACATGACCACCGGCTGGATGGAAGGCATCTTGACTAAAGGGAAGCTCTTCTCCAGCAGATCTTCCAGCTTTTTGTACCTGGAGGAAGCAAGGCGGTACTGTAAGCAACTTTGAAGGCATTGCTGGAAGAAAAGGGATTTCCAATGGCAGTATAGGACCCGACGCACCTTTCCTCCGCCTTTCCTTCAGAGGCGATGGCGGAGATCCTCTCCAGAAGCTTCTCTCGCAGCTCGTCGAAGACGGACTGGTGGAACTCCAGCCTCGGGGTGCCATGGAGATCCAGGAAGGGCAGCGCCGATTGGAGGGTGGGCAGCAGGATGCCATTCTCGGTCTGTCAATGTCATGCGCCATGTTAAAAGCACTTGTGATGTATGTATCTCATCAAAGCACTTGAGACCCAAACTCTAGGGCAGCAGTGCCTTGGTATTCACTAGAGTTTGGGCCCAAGGTGACCAATATCCACGGATGCTAGCCAAGACATAGCATTAGGCATGGGCCAACTTTGGCCCTCCCTCCAGGTGTTTTGGACTTCAACTCCCACAATTCCTAACAGCCAGGCTGTTAGGAATTGTGGGAGTTGAAGTCCAAAACACCTGGAGGGAGGGCCAACGTTGGCCCATGCATGTTATAAGTCATTCACATATAAATCTTTCTCTTTATCTACAAAAGTTATGTCTGTTTTCCACTACCACACAGGCTGCTGATAGATGAAGTGGCCTTCAGTGATGCCACTGGGAAAGGAAGGTGTCCTGTGTCATGAGGATAAGGGAAGGGAAAGAAAGAAAGAAAAAAGAGAGGGAAAGATGTATGAAGGAAAGCAAAGGAAAATGAAAAGACAACAAGAATGACAGACAGAAAAGAGATGGAAGGTCTATAAAGGAAAGTGAGAGAGGGAGGAAAGAAAAGAAAGTGAAAAGGAAGGGGGAAAGGAAAAGACAGATGAGAGGGGAAGTTGTATGAGGGAAAGGAAGGGAGGAAAGGGAGTGAAAAAAGAAAGAAAGAAAGAAAGAAAGAAAGAAAGAAAGAAAGAAAAGGATGTATGGGGGAAAGCAAAGAAAAAAAGAAAAGAAAAGCCAAAAGTCTGAAAGGAAGAAAGAAAAGAGATTGAAGATTTATAAAGGAAAGGAAGGAAGGAAGGTGAAAAAGAAGAGAAACAAAAAAAAGGAAGAGAGGAAGGTGTATGAGGGAAAGAGAGGGAGGGAGGAACGAAAGTGAGAAAGAAGGGAAAGAAGGAAAGAAAAGAGGGGAAGATGTATGAGGGGAGGCAAACAAAAAAAGGAAAAAAAAGGCCAAAAGTCTGAACGGAAGAAAGAAAAGAGATTGAAAGTGTATAAAGGAAAAGAAGGAAAGTAGGAAGGTGAAAAAGAAGGGAAAGGAAAAAAAGGAAGAGGGGAAAGTGTATGAGGGAAAGAGAGGGAGGGAGGAATGAAAGAAAGTGGAAAGGAAAAGAAAGAAGGGAAGGTGTATGAGGGAAAGCGAGGGAGGGAGGAAAGAAAGTGAAAAAGAAAGGAAAGAAAAAAGGGGGAAGATGTATGAGGGAAGGCAAAGAAAAAAGAAAAGAAAGGCCAAAAGTCTGAACTGAAGAAAGAAAAGAGATTGAAGGTGTATAAAGGAAAGGAAGGAAGGTGAAAAAGAAGGGAAAGGAAAAAGGAAGAGAGGAAGGTGTATGAGGGAAAGCTAGGGAGGGAGGAAAGAAAGTGAAAAAGAAGGGAAAGAAGGAAAGAAAAAAGGGGAAGAGGTACGAGGGAAGGCAAATAAAAAAGAAAAGAAAGGCAAAAGGTTTGAACGACAGAAAGAAAAGAGACTGAAGGTGTATAAAGGAAAGGGAGAGAGGAAGGAAAGAAAGTGAAAAGGAAGAGGGGAAAGGAAAAGAAAGATGAGAGGGGAAGATGTATGAGGGAAAGAGAGGGAGGAAAGGAAGTGAAAAAGAAAGGAAGAAAAGGGGGGAGATGTATGAGGGAAAAAGAAAGAAGGAAGACATAAAGGAAGGAAAGAAAGAAGGAAGGAAAGAAAGAAAAGAAAGAAGGAAGGAAGAAAAGAAGGAAGGGATGAAGGAAGGGAAAGAAAAAAAAGGAAGAGGGGAAGGTGTATGAGGGAAAGAGAGGGAAGAAGGACAGAAAGAAAGAAAGAGGAAAGGAAAAGAAAGGGAGGGAAAAGTGTATGAGGGAAAATGAGGGAGGGAGGAAAGAAAGTGAAAAAGAAGGGAAAGAAAAAAGAAAAGAAAGGCAAAAGGTCTGAATGATAGAAAGAAAAGAGGTAAAGGTGTATAAAAGAAAGGGAGAGAGGAAGGAAATAAAGTGAAAAGGAAAGGGGAAATGAAAAAGGGAGAGAAGAAAAGGAAGTGAAAAAGAAGGGAAAACAAATTAGTGAGGAAAGATGTATGAGGGAAAGCAAAGCAAAAAAGAAAAGAAAGTCAAAAAGTCCGAATGACAGAAATAAAAGAGACTGAAGGTGTATAAAGGAAAGAGAGGGAGGAAGACAAGAAAGAAAGAAAGTGAAAAGGAAGGGGGAAGGAAAAGAAAAAAGAGGAAAGGAAAGGAAAAAGAGAAGAAAGTAAAAAATAAGAAAAAAAAATAAGAAAATTGGTAAAGAAAAGGTATATGAGTGGAACGGAGGGAGGAAAGAAAGAAAGAATGAAAAAGAAGGGATAGAAAAAAGCCAGAAAGTAAGAAAAGAGGCGAAGAGAAAGTATATGAGTGGAAAGGAGGGAGAAAAGAAAAACAAAGAATGAAAAGGGGGGATAGAAAAAAAGTCAGAAAGTAAGAAAAGGGGTAAAGAGAAGATATATGAGTGGGATGGAGGGAGGAAAGAAAGAAAGAATGAAAAAGAAGGGATAGAAAAAAGTAAAAGAAAGAAAGAAGGGAAGGGAAAGTGTATGGGGAAGCAAAGGAAGAAGGAAAGAAGGGCAGAAAGAAAAAAGATGGTGAGAAAGTGTATGAAGAAAAGGGATGGAGGGAGGGAACAAAGAAAGGGAAAAGAAGGGAAAGAAAGAAGAGGGGGAAGATGTATGAGGGAAAAATAAAGGAAGAAGCAAAGAATGACAGAAAATTGATAGATGTATGAGGGAAAGGGAGAAGGGGGGAAGGAAAGAAAGAAAGGGGAAAAGAAGGGAAAGAAAAAGAGGGGAGTATATGATGGAAAGCAAAGTAAGGAAAGGAAAGAAAGAAGAGAGGGGAAAGGTGTATGAGGGATAGTGGAAGGAATGGGGAAAGAAAGGGGACTGTTTTGGCAAGGAGCTTTTCAGTCTCCTCCTGGAGCTTCCGGGTTTAGATCTCCATGGCAACCGGCGCGGCCTAGGAAGGCGGGAAGGCCTGCTCACTCACCTGGAACTGCTCGATGGCCTTCAGGGGCTCCGTGCAGTTGGTCAGCGTCTCTTTCAAGTCTTCCCCGTTGGCCACCCCGAGCTCCTGCAAGCCGGCGAACATGGCCCGACACTCGGGGGAGTCCGCCCGCTCCGTCCGTCCCGTAAAAGGTTCCCCCACTGAGCCATGGTACGCCAGTTTATGCGCCCCCTCCGGAAACAATTTCCCTCGTAAAATGGTTCCGCCTTGGGTTGTCGAAGGCTGTGAGTTTTCCGGGCTGCTGTCTCTCCATGTTCCAGAAGCATTCTCTCCTGACGTTTCGCCCGCGTCTATGGCAGGCATCCTCAGAGATTGTGAGGTCTGTTGGAAACTAGGCAAGTGGGGTTTATATATCTGTGGAATAATGTCCAGGGTGGGAGAAAGAACTCTTTGTTGGAGGCAAATGTGAATGTTGCCATTGGCCACCTTAGGTTGTTGGTTGTCCCCTGACATTAAGTCCAGTCATGTCTGACTCTGGGGTGTGGTGCTCATCTCCATTTCTAAGCCGAAGAGCTGGCGTTGTCCATAGACACCTCCAAGGTCATGTGGCCAGCATGACTGCACGGAGCGCCGTTACCTTCCCACCGGAGTGGTACCTATTGATCTACTCACATTTGCATGTTTTCGAACTGCTAGGTTGGCAGAAGCTAGGGCTGACAGTGGAAGCTCACGCCACTCCCCGGAATCGAACCTGCGACCTTTCGGTCAACAAGCTCAGCAGCTCAGTGCTTTAATCCACTGCGCCACCGGGGGCTCCATTGGCCACCTTAATTAGCACTAAATAGCCTTGCAGCTTCAAAGCCGTTCTCTTACCTACAAGAAGCACTGCCTGAACATCAAACAAAAAGCGGGTGCTAGAAACAATATCATACAAAAGCTGACTGGCACAACCTGGGGATCACAACCAGACACAGTGAAGACATCTGCCCTTGTGCTATGCTACTCTGCTGCTGAGTATGCATGCCCAGTATTGAACACATCTCACCACACTAAAACAGTGGATGTGGCTCTTAATGAGACATGCCGCATTATCACGGGGTGTCTGCGCCCTACACCACTGGAGAAATTACACTGCTTAGCCGGTATTGCACCACCTGACATCCGCCGGGAAGTAGCAGCCAATAGTGAAAGGACCAAGGCAGAGACATCTCCAGCTCATCCCTTGTTTGGGTATCAGCCAGCACGTCAACGACTTAAATCAAGAAATAGTTTTCTTAGATCTACAGAGACACTCGCTGGAACACCTCAGCAAGCGAGAGTCCAAAAGTGGCAGGCTCAAACCCAGCACCTCAATCCGTGGGTGATACCAGATGAGAGACTCCCCCCTGGGCACACAGAAGACTGGGCGACTTGGAAGGCGCTGAACAGACTGCGCTCTGGCATCACGAGATGCAGAGCCAATCTTAAGAAATGAGGCTACAAAGTGGAATCCACGGCATGCGAGTGTGGAGAAGAGCAAACCACGGACCACCTGCTGCAATGCACCCTGAGTCCTGCCACATGCACAATGGAGGACCTTCTTGCGGCAACACCAGAGGCACTCCAAGTGGCCAGATACTGGTCAAAGGAGAGAAAGAACTCTTTGTTGGAGGCAAGTGTGAATAATAATAATAATAACTTTATTTATACCCCGCCACCATCTCCCTAAGGGACTCGGAGCGGCTTACATGAGGCCAAGCCCAACAACACATCAATAAAAACAAGAACAATAAACAAAAACAATACAATACAGTTAATATAAATCACATATAAACAATAAAAATAACACACAAGGATTTAAAAACATATGGCCGGGCCAAATGTAATAGTTTAAATTTTTTTAAAAATAAAACGCTGGGCATGAACAAGGTAGGATATATCTGGTATAAAGGGTTTTAAAAGAAATGAGGGGAGTGCAGTCCAACCCAATCCAATAGTAAAGTGCATTCTGAGGACAGATTGTTGGGAATTTTTCCTTATTCCAGGAAGGCACACTGGAACAGCCACATTTTCAGGCTCCTCCTAAACACTGCCAATGTTGGGGCATGCTTGATGTCCTTGGGAAGTGAGTTCCAGAATTGGGGGGGGCCACCGCCGAGAAGGCCCTCTCCCTCATCCCCACCAATTGCACCTGCGAAGGAGGCGGGAGTGCGAGCAGGGCCTCTCCAGATAATCAAAGAGATAATGTGGGTTTGTACACAAAAATGCGGTCACGCAGGTAGGTGGGTCCCAAACTGTTCAGGGCTTTGTAGGTAAGAACCTGCACCTTGAATTGGGACCGGAAAATCAACGGCAGCCAATGGAGCTCCTTAAACAGGAGGGTTGACCGCTCCCTGTAAGTCACACCAGTTAGTAACCAGGCTGCCACCCATTGTACCAATTGAAATTTCCGGGCTGTTTTCAAGGGCAGTCCCACGTAGAGTGCATTACAGTAATCCAATCTGGAGGTGACTAAAGCATGGACCACCCTGGCCAGATCCGACTTCATGAGGTACGGTCACAGTTGGCACACGAGTCTTAATTGTGCAAAAGCCCTCCCGGCCACTGCCGATGTCTAAGCTTCAAGCGTAAGTCATGAATCCAGGAGGATACCCAGGCTGCGGACCTGTGACTTCAAGGGGAGTGCAACCCCATCCAGCACAGATTGCCACCCTATACCCTGATCCAGCTTACGATCGACCAGGAGGACCTCTGTCTTGTTGGGATTGATCCTCAGCTTGTTCGTCCTCATCCAGACAGCCACAGCGGCCAGGCACTCGTCCAGTACCCAAGGGGCTTCCTTGGAGTTAGGTGGAAAAGAGTAGTAGAGTTGGGCATCATTTGCGTAGAGATGGCATCTGTGCTGGTACGGCTGTACCAGGAGCTCCAAATTTAGTTGCTTTGTATTGAATGTTTGTTTGCAGTCCTAAGTTTCAGGGTTCTGCAGATAGGTGGCTTCCTTTGGTTGCAGTCATAGGGCAAGTCACCTGTCCATCATTGTTAAGTTTTGGTTCCGCCCCTTGCTCAGGGCAATTGGGAAGGGAAGGGAGCCATTAGTCTCAGCAAGGAAAGCTAATGTACAGGACGTGTGCAAGCTTCCCTTCTACAAAAGCTTCAAGCCTTAAGACTTTCCGGGGGGAAACAGTCTTAAGAGGATCCAAGACTTTCCGGGGGAGAACAGTCTTCAGAGTCTCCAAAGATTTCCAGGGAAACAGCCCTAAAGACCAAAGAACTCCAGCTGGATAACATCTAAGCCTTTACTGGTAGGTCCACTCGGCATTCGAGAAGCAGTTTGACCCAGTAGCGGAGCCAACATCAGTTTAGATTACAGTCAGCCTGGGAGAAGTTAAAAAGGGGGCTTTCCTTTAAAGTAAAGAAGAAGTTATTGAAGAGAGTTGCTTGTCCTTCGTGGGCAAGTTTAGGAAGCTACCAGTTGCATAAAAGCCTAGGATCATTTGTTTATCTTTACTGAAGACAAGAGAAGTTTCTGTTTGATTGTTCATTAATAAAAGACTTTGTTAT